AAAACGGTTTCATTTGAACGACTAAGAGAGAAGGTAAATACAGTATTTTCTTTTGAAGATATAGAATTGTGCAGAGTTAAACCCCACTCTTATATTTTTACCTACTATTCTCTCTCTGTATCAAGCAAAATAATACATTCATTAAAATATTAACTTCACTATAAAAGTTGAACATCTGGGCTGTAGTTACTCTGTGTAGCCAATTTCATGTATTTCATCTGGGGCTGAAAAAAATGAATCATATTAATTGATTATTTCAATAATCGTCAACTAATTTAGTACGTGATTCATCATTAACTGGAGTATAGAGACTTTAAAACATACAGTAATATAAATGTAAAATGTGCCTTTCCCCACAGAGCAACCCACTTAGATCAGTTATTATATCAAAATTGTAAAAATAAAAACAAAAAAATGAAAACTGTAATATCAACTTAATATCAGTAAAAAGGAAATCCTCACATTTTCTTTTTTAGTTGGCTGTGGCTAAGAATCAGAAATGTTGATGGCTTACAGCCTTTATTTGCCCATTTTTCCAGCAGTCTTCAGAACTCCTGGCTGACTCAGAATATTTCGTTTTATAAAAGAAAAAAAAAGGTTTTTGTTTTTTAGTGTACATGATATTCATTTTTTTTTAATTGGGACTAGTTTTGTAGCCTAATATTAATTGTAGTAACCGCTGCATTCTAGTGTGAATATATTTTCAATGTTGTGCTCCAAGCACACGCGGACTAGAAAACAGCCAATCAGAGAGAGAGAAGGCGGAACTTAAGGCAGAACAACCAATGAGAGTGGAGTTAAACAGCGCAGCACAGTTCCATGCGCTGCTACATGAAAGGGACAGGAGAGACCAGGCAGAGGAGCTGCGAGAGGAAAAGAAGCCTCTGCTGCAACAACTACTGCTGTAAATTATAAACATGTTGCTCACATCCAATTATTGGTAGGGACAATTAGGACGGTTCAAAATTTTGGTAGGGACATGTCCCTATGGTCCCTATGCAAACCTACGCCCATGATGGATGATATACCTTTTAAAGCACAGAACAAGGTATTTTTTAAATCAAAGTTAGAACTCAATAATTTGGATACAAAAAAATAAAAAAAGTAAATAATATTTTTTTTTGTAAGTTCTATCTAGAAACACTCATAATCATACAAGTGCAGGATTTTTGCAGAGGTAGAAACTAGTTAGATTTACTCAGCTACATTTTCTTGAGCCTCTCTTTTTTTTTTTTTTTTGGTGGGAAAAAATTTTTAATCGTAGTTTCACATTACTACACTTTTTAACTTTTTTTTTTCTAATAGAGTAGCTTATTGCTGTTCTAATCATAACTTGGACCAGACAGAAACATATGAAACATATGTTAAGGTAAGATTTATTTGCACCTGGGCTTTGTTGTTTATAGATTAAATAACCAACAATTCCTGCCATACAGGGATCAAGTAAATATACAGTAAACAGTAGATATTGCCACTGGGAACTCTTTACCCTGTTTTAACACATTTCCTACTCTAAGGTTTGGTTTCATACAGTTTGTATTAAAACAGATAGATTTGTATAAGTGTTTCTTCTCCCTGAAGTTCTCATTTTGTAGGCCTAATGATGTTATTTATTAATTGTTTTAGTTTTAGACTTTAAAGTACCAGAATTTGTTTTGTCTGTATGATTGCCATATGTTAACACATTTAATCAGCTCTAATGCTTGTTCTGATCATTATTCAGTACTTAAAAGTAGCCTTTTCACATGATACTTTAAACAGTTTCTTAAAAAATTGTTTAAAGTATGTTGAAGATGTACTACTTTTATAATTTTTAGCTGGTCTGCTCAGCTCTAGATCTCTTACAGACCCTATAACAGAGTTATTAGTTGATAGCTCAAATATTACCTGCAGTCAAACACTGTATTTTTTGATGCAATAGTTATTTATTTCTGAATTTAAAGATTAGAGTGCCACAAAACTGGAATAAGTAGCCTAAAAATAGTTTTGTGGGACTTAGCTCTGACTAGTTTAAAGGTATGCATAGGGTTTAAGACTTTGAACTCTTAAAAATTGGTTGCCATACTTTTTCTGCAAGAAATAGGGGGACCAAACATGTCCAAAACTCAGGGTCATCTGCTTAACAGAAGCATTTTCCGCTGTTTAGAAATACTTCTCACTGCAAAAACATAGTAATGCTGTAAAAATTAGTGGTTGCCATGCATCACTCTCACTGCACTAAAGTGTTTTCTGTCTACAACTGAGAAGCTAGGACTGTAGTGACTCTGCGGTATGTGGGCACACATTTTCCAACACCAAAACCATACAATATTGAATGTTAGCCCATCCTTTTGTGTTTATGTCACAAGTTTAATACAAATTTCCCGATGTGATCTACGTACACACAGTTAAGAACTAGTGAACCAAATGTTTTGCTTGCAAAGCCAATCAAGAGAGCTGTCAAAGAGGTTTTTCATGAACCCAGCAGGAAGATGGACAGCAGTGTCCCTGATGGAGACTCTTCAGCCTGGCAGACGTACAGACGGGTCTGGTCGGGTGAGCCACTTGGCACTGGAAGTGCAGCTGGCTTAGCGGTGCAGTAGTAGCTGGCACCAGGCGCATGCTGGCTTCTCCGCTGGTAGAAACAAACAGGCAGACTCTGCCACACTCCTGCAGAGGAGCAAACAGAGGCTGGCAGGGAGCGCCGCTCTTCAAAAGCTGCTGTTGTCTGGAGATGCCTTTCATGTGAATGGGAGCCTTAATAGGCGTTGTGTGATGGTTCTCCTCGCACACTGGCCACTCAGTGAAACCCTTCTGTTGGGTTTTAATTAAAAAACAATGTTTGAAGGCCACAATGCACTTGGAGGGACAACACAGTGACTTCTTGGTGGCCCTGGTGCTGTTTGTTTTGGACTTGTACTCTGACTCCCACTGAGTTTACTACATGCAATGGGAGGTGAAGAGAGTTTTTTTTTTTTTTTTACTATGGTCGCTTAACCAACAGAAGGGGAGCGTTCTGGTTAAACAGTGTAGTGGTTTTCAGTTAGAATTATAAGAGGTTAACCAACTAAAAATGGATTCTTTTAATAATAGCAAAAATAGTAAAATATGAAGGGTAAACTACTTATCCACATTTCGGTTAACATCACTTAAAACATACACTTCTGTACTGTTTTATACAAAAGCTGCATTTTGCAGTGTGATGTAATGTAACCCACTAGTGTTGCAAATTCCACTGCTAAAAATAAAATAAAAATGACTACCTTAAAATAAGAGATCTACCTTTAATTTTATTAGGTAAGAAAGATGATCTGCTAGTGGAATAATTTTGCCCTTAAAAATAATATAATTAGATATTATGTACTTGAAATAAGACTGCAGTTGTGTTTTTGTATTTTAATTATAAATTTTAAATTGAAATTTATCAGTGTATCAAGCAAATAATCATGCACGAGTTGCATCAATGTTTCCTATACACAAAAAGGTAATCATCAAAACCGGAGGTTTACAGAGTGTGGGGCTGGACTGCAAATAAAGAATGAGATATATTTGGTCCGACAAATTAGAGTATATATAGAGAATATAAGAGTCGCCATCTTCTTTGGAACCCCAAAGCTGCTTATTTTAAACTAGATCGAAATTAGGTTTAGCTTGTTTTTTTAAGAGGGACCCGAATATTGTTCTTGTTGCTGAACATTTTTTTTATCCTTAAGAAAATAAAAATCAACTGCCTCCCAAAGGATTTGGAAATTTTGGAATAGATGTGACAACATTCTCTCCCAGAAATAAGACAACTTAAAGTTCTTAGCTTAATAAAACTAAAAGATGTACCAAATTTTGGCCGGGGTAACAAAATATTCATGTCTGGCCTTTGCATATAAATTTAATAGTTTTGGTGCATCCAGTGCCACCCCCCTTCATACAATAATTTTATTTTAAAAGATTTTTTTCTTTTTCTTTCAAGAAAAGTGTTCTTTCTCTGATAAGATCAATAAAGGTCTCTTAAAAATTCTTAAGCACAAACACCAGTTTCATGCTAAAGGATTAAAAACAAAAAGGTTTAATAGCACTTGTTGCTTAAGAGTTGTCCTCTTAATAATTATAAGATATGAGTCAAAATAAACTTTATATTTATTTTGATATTAAAATTAAGCAGAAAAACCCCAAAAATAGATGTAATTTAAGTGCTTATTGAATGAATATAGCTTATTGGTTTTTTTATACAGGGACAAACATAATAAGCACTTGTGCTATTTGATCAGGCTCTTAGCTAAGGTAGACATCATGCAAACAGCTGCTTAACAGACATTTTAGAGCTTTCTAACCTTTTTAAGACTCATTTTCCACACTTAATTGAAAATACAGAAAACAGCAAATCAACATTTTTTGTAAGTGTGGCAGGATTCTTTCTGACAGCTGACTGACAGTGTGAAGCAACAAGTGGGGAAGTGTTGCATAATGTGATTTCATAACTGTTTAATATCTTTCCCATGAATACTTAGAAAACTATAAGTTAACTAAACACTTAAAGACTTTCACTTTTCTGGCTTCTCTTGAAAGTTTAACTGTTTAAAGCTTTTGTTGTATTAAACCAAAAGCATGAATTAACCTCTACCTCCTAAGTCTGCAGAAAACTGACATTTTCTTAGTATTCTTAATAGTGACGTTAAAGCAGCTGTATCTGCTCTATAAACAAATTCAGTGTTACTGATTTAGGTCCATGTGAACCAATCAGAGTGGAAATGACCATCATGAGCTGTTTTATGCAACTACACCGCCACCTGCTGGATGATAAAGATCTGAGTTGCAAGGATACATAAATCAATCCAACGATGTTGCATTTGGTTTAAATTGAATAAAAACTTTTAAAAACTAATGAAATCCTATTGGGTTAGAACCAGTTTTCATTTCTGCTTGCACTGAACTGTTTTGTCATGCCTTGGCATTGTTCTTTAGGGACAGTAAAATATCAAATATTAGATACATGAAGCACTGGGTTCAGGAAGAAGATAGGGGACATCTTACAGGAAAGATCATTTTTAATGGTCCCAAATTTTCCAAACAACTAAGTGTACACTCATAAAAGGGGGGAAAAAATGAGATATGACAAAAATCATCACATCTAGAATTCCACTCAATCTTTAATCAAGATGGGATTACAAATTCTCCAAAAAATCTGCAGTTTCAAAGGGCAAAAAAGGGTAAAACTAGCTCACCTACTGAGGTCGTTAAAAACCTGTTCAAGTGTGACTGAAAACGTCCTGAACATTTAAAGGCAGGTCTTTTTTGTTGTCATTTACAAAAACAGGTGAAAGAGACAAATAGAGAACAAAAGGAAAAAAATTAATGAAAAAAAAAAAACTGCTGGCCTTTTTTTTTCTCTTCAGAGAAAGAACGTCCACCGAGGAGTAACAACAATGATGACAACAAAGGCAGCTGTTCGCATCATACTGCCTCCCATCTGGTCCTATAAACTAACTTAAAAGGGAATTAAAAGCAACCGACAGAGAAGGAAACGAGAGCAGAAAGAAGGAAGCAGGAAAGGAACAGTGAGGAGGTGAACTCTAGGGAGGGAATGGGGGTGCAATAGGTGGTTGTGGGTCTGAATTGGTTGGCCCGACTGGGTCGCTGTGATGTCCTTCCCTGAGTGGGGGGGTGGGCAGGGGGGAGGGGGCAGTGGGTTATGGTCTGAGCATACATGCTCTGTGTGTACATTTGTATTGGTATGTGGTCATTTCCTCCAGTTGAGAAATCACCAAACAACAACTAGGCTTTCTCGTAAGAAATCTATTATCCACCAAAACGTTCACGTCTGCTTCGCTTCTCAGACGGGTTGTCCACTCCTGGTCTCCTGATTGGCACTTCTATAAACTGGGTGAGTCTGAGGAGGCTTTATATCCCATCACCAGTCTGCTCCTCGTTGGGCCACCCACTCGGGGCGAGGGGCGGCTCTCATTCATTCAATTTGTCTACAAGTTTGATCATTCCTGTCAAGAGTCTGTTTCAAGACAGTCTGAGCAGAAAAATAGCTGCAACGCTGCTTCTTTACGAGCTCAGTTTGGACTTCTTTGAAGGTGGGAGAGTGTCCTCTTTACTTTCTCCGTCGTCCTCTTCTTCCTCCTCTTCATCGTCATCAGGATAGTCTACCAGTCCCACTAAACCTCCCTGCAGCACACAAGCAAAATCATTTTTTATAACGTTTTTTTTTTTTTTCAAAACCTGTAGAAACTGTAAGTAAGTCTTCCTTATCAAATGTATTTCTTAGAAGGCCGACACTATTTTATTAAGAAAAATGTTTTTAATTATTGCAAAATACTTTATCTAAAAAATAAAAATAAATCTGCTCCAGTGAACAGTTTTGTCATAAAAGGCACTTTCATGATGCCTCGTGGTTTTTTGAGAGTATTCTAATCTTCAGTGTCGAAATAAATCTGTAAGGAAATCAGATGAAACCACTTTAATCTTTCATCCAATAGAAAGCCCGGTCTGGTGTTTGAAAACTGTTTTTTGTGCAAAGTTTCATAATAAAGTAGTTTTCTTTTATCCATGTTCTTCTTACTCTTATAGGGAGTTGAAAAAGTATAGATATTCAGCTAATTAGTTTTTCCAAAAGTGTGCTTATTCAAAATTCAAATAAATACCTTTGTGGTTACAGCTGTTGTGGGGGGTGAGCTCCGGGCCCCGGAGCCAGGAGACCCTGGAGATCCAGGAGAGCCTGGGTTCAGGGATGCTGATGAAGGAGGACTCGCCAGGCTGGTTTTAGTAGATCCAGAGAACGACAGCTTGAAGCTTGGATTCTGCCTCCCTGACAAGCCTGACTTTCCTAATACTTCTTTATCCTCCGTGTCTTTCACTGTGGGTTAAGATGACAACATGAAAAGTAGTTACTCTCAAAGAACAGGTTTCTGCTTACATTACAGTCACCTTAAGAGGCTGTGTAACCCAAATAAACACTGCAGGCATTCATAGATCTCACAATAAAACCAGCGATAAATCTAGAAGTCAGACAAGAACAAGTCCTTGATGAACTTGCTGTTGTACTTTCTTGCTTAACAACATATTAAAACTACTCTTTACAAACTTAGCAAAGGTAACTAAGCCAAGTCATGAGCAGATCAAAGCCCGGAGCATCTAGTTATCTGATTTAATAATGTACAAGCTTCTAAGTTTAGGTGTTTTTGATGCTAAAGATATTTTGGTTTGAACGCAACATTAATATGAAGCAATTTCTAGAAGCTTGCTGAAGTCTGACTTTGATTTCTGGCAAAAATAGAATTGATTTTGCTACCTGACTGTCCTCTCGCCACTACAACTGCTATGATCAATATTTTCATTCATTATATTGTCTGCATCCATCTTTCCAGCTAAGTGTAGGGGAGTCAGACGCAGTGTGATATTGGATAACTATGATCATCCTGCATACCAGCTAGTAAAACTCATGGATCATATCTGGTCCTGTGAATTCGATATTGCACATATATTTTGAAGTTATGGCTAAGGGGTTTTCAGATACTCACATTTCTTTCTCTCCATGAATTTGCTAATTGGTTCCATGAGGTCTTCCTCGCTCTTCATCTTGTCTGAGGGTGGAACAACCGCCTCTCCATCCTCAAGGTCATCCTCATCCGTGTTAAACCACATCTCCTCTTCGTCCTCTAACGTCCGTGCATCGCGGCGGTAGCGGTGGTTCCGTAGGATGGAGCGCATACTGTTAAGAAATGAGTGATCAAATGAACTAAGATCCGTTTCTTACCATGCATCATTCATCTAGACTTTTTACTTGCAATTTCAGCCGCAAAGATAACCATGAAAATTCTATAAAAACAGTTACTTTGAGGGATAATGATGTCAAATTTAAATGTAAAAATCCGACAGAGATCATAGATGTTTTACAACCCCTCTTCTTCCAGACACACCAAAAACAGATTGTCCTTATGATATTGGTTACAGTAAAAGATTATTGGAAAACCACGGCTTTATTTTCTTACCTATCCAGTTTGGGGTTGTCTTGCCTTTCTCGCTGCTGTTCATATCGCAGTTTTAGGCCTTTGAATGTCTGAACATAGTCCACATCCTCCAGAGACTTCCAGTAGTTCTCCACTATATGAGCCGTCAGAGACTTGATGTCCTCCTAAGAGGAATGGGAGGCAAAATAGAGGCATTATTAATCACAGACTAAACACTGCATGGAGGGAAAAAATACATTAGATTGAAGCATGGAAACCAAATGAGAAGATTCAAAAAAGGTAGTAAGCAAAGGAAGTAACCTAAAAACTGACAGACTACACAGTTATGCTTATTAAAAAACTTCAAAAGCACAAATAAGAGTGCTTATATTTCGTGGAAATACTTTAACTCTGATGATGTGGCAAAGGCATCATTTGGATATTATGCAATATCACAAAACTTCCCTTGTGATAAGCTATTAAAGCATCCCTATAACACTTCAAGATTGAGTTGAATTTAAAGGGATTATTTTGAGTTAAGGCAGATAGACTGCAGAAGAGGAATTTTTAATAATTAGAAAAGGATAGCGATAAAGGCAAATCAAACCAAAAATATGAAAAAAACTATACAAAGTAAGATTTCTTTTAGTCATTTTAAATCCCTTTAAGCATAACTAATCATATGGAAAGTAAAAAATAAAAACTGAGAAGAACACTCACCACACGGACATATTCAAACATCTCAATAATGGCCGAATTCAGAAGATTGTAGCGGGAGCCATTGTTGCGGAAGGCTTTAACGACAGGCTCAAAAAGGAAGTTTCTCATGATGTACCGATTGTAGAATTCATCCTTTAAGCCAACAATCCTCCTCATAAAACGCAGGGCACCTGTCAATGAGCACACATACATCTATATAGAGCTCCAAACTTAAACAGTTGAGCTGAAACCAGTCTTGTTTAGCATAACATACAGAAAGGAGAAAACACAACCATTTCACATGTCCATAAAAACACTACCGGACTAATGATTGTAGGGAAGCCTTTGCAGGAGACTGCTTCCTGACAGCCACAGGGTGAACAGAAGCCGTTATTATTTGATATGCATATACAATCTAGAAAGTAATAATAGAACAAAAGGTGTTGAATGTCAAATATATGTCTAATCCTTTGACTGGTAGTGTACAGCTTGATAAGAAAATAAAAATAAATCAGCATCCCAAACCAGGAGAAGCTAGAAATCCTTTCGTATTATGTAAAAACTACCCTGAGTTCCAGGAGAAATCTTTTGTCTTGCCACGTTTCAACTTCCTTAAGTCTTAGAGTACACTGCAAAAACACATTTAAATTAAGTGCATTTGCCCTTAATTTGAGAAGGTAAATAAGATGGTTTGTCAATTAATTGTATATGTTAAAATAAGATAATATGCACTTTAAATAAGACTGTTTGAGCAAGATTGTTTTTCTTATTTTGAATGTAAATTGTCTTGTTCCATTGACAAAGTGTCTCACTTACCACCTCAATTCAAGAAAAAATTACTTATGACTATTTATTTTTTCAGTGTAGGGGTGTCAAACTAATTTCAATATCCGAATCAATTGAGCTTTAGAAGGGCCGTTTTGAACTTTTGATTGCATTTGATGTAAAAAGAGCACATTGCTCTGGTATTAAAACTGTACTCTCATTTCTTTTTGCATTTTCAGCCACTTTGTACACTTTAAAAGAACACGTATGTACTTTAATCACATGATTTTCTTAATTTGGCTCTAAAGGACCAGATAAATTGCTGTGACAGGTTGAATTTGGCCTTTGGGCTTTGACTTTAAGACAATTTAGAGAAACAAGCTGAAAAATCATAATTCCCGAGGTGTTCTTGTTTTTCCTTTGTAACTCCAGTGGTCTAATACTTTTAACAACACCTGAACAAACGACACTGGTTAACTGATTACTGGTTTCACATAATGGGATTTGAAAAACAGGATGACTTAAAATAGAATTAGAATTTATAATGGTCTGGTGATCTGATATCTTTCACAAAGAGTCTTGTGTAATAATTTCTGGAAAATTTTAAAAACACCCCCTTCTAAATTAATACATCGGAAAATCCTGTCAGCAGACATTTCTAATCTCTCTTCTGGTTGCTCAGTCAGGAACAGAGATGGTTTTCTAAAATAAGTTGAATTTATGTAACATTATAATTGGGATGAAGCTTCACTATCTGACATTTATGTAGTATTGTTAACAAATAACTCCAATAGCGTGACAAATAGCATCGCTGTAGTGAGAATTTTAAAAACTATACACTGGTCACTCTCTACCATCAAGTGGAGCACTTTCTTTGTTTCTCCACTTGATGCAGGAAAATAAGCTTAAGGCTTAAGGCCAATTTATACCTCTGACGCATAGCCTTTGCAACCGTCAAATCTGTCCCTGTGCGCGACCATGCCCTCAGGGCAGAGGCTCTGCAACCATCGTGGCGCACTACAAAAAAATCCTGACTACACGTCGGATGGTTGCAAAAGTGGCTGCGGAAATACGCAGATAAAAAGCAGCTGTGATTGGTCCTTGATTTGCCTTTCCAGCTGTCTGTGTGCTCGTCCTTCTCGATTCAGTGCCGGGGCGCGCCATTTTTAAAAACCGAGGAGTAATAACAACAATGGATAATCACGACGAAAGGTTGATCGAGGAGGTTCGGAAGTACAACCCCTTGTACGATGCGTCAGACATGTTGCTTGAGGAAAATAAACAAATTGCTGTATGTCCCTAGAAATTCCAGACCAACGTTGGAAAACTGGTTCGTGACCAGACGCAAGCGACATTTGACGTGTGCAGTTGCAGAAGTATAATCCGCCCTTTAATGGGCATAAAATAACTTCCCAATATTCCTCACGCTAAACATACAACTTTCATCCTAAAAGTTCAAACTCTACAGGTTCATTCATTTTAAAACTAGTAATATGGTTTCATCAAGCAGCTGATAAATCTTTATAAATTGCTTAGAATTGGTGGCGCTGTGACACCGCCACAGAATCGTACCCAACCAACTGAAAAAAACACTGGGCCTAAGAAGGCGATTCATAAAAACAGGCTGAGCTATGCCACCATTAGAAGATATGGGTGCATACAATACATACACAATGAAATGTGAAATCATAGTTCTATGATTTTTTCACACACTGGGAACCAGTTTCAAACATGACCACTTATAATCTCTTAAAACACCAGATCCGTTTGGAAAAAAAAAATCTTTGTGGTTATTCATCATCTCTTCTCTAATAGGGCTGAAGTTTAATCACAGCTTTATCATCTTTTCTTACACTTGCATTATACATATGTGTATCAATAATTCTGTACAAATATTCTGGTGTTCAGGTTATCATGCAATGACCAAAACCTTATAGCTGAGAATATGGGGGACTTACATAGTGCCACAAAGGCGTGCTGAGATGCTGTAAGAACCAGGACCCTCTTCAGAATATCCTTGTTGATGATGTAGTTCTTGATGTGATACGTGTGATGCTCAACGCAAAATGTTAGCAGCTCCAAAATCAGGGCGAGCAACTGGGCAGTTTGAAAATCATCTGAAAAATACAGGAAACATAGGCCACTAAACACAAAATAGGATATTTAAAATAACACACAACTGTAATGTCTTAAAATATCCAGTACCTTTGCTAGGCTTTTCTTCTGTTGTGTTGGCTAATAATGGAGCAGAGAGGACATGCATACAATGTTTGTAGAAAAAGCTCAAGAACTCCGTCTTTTCTGTTTTCTGGGGATAAAAAAAGGGGAGTTGTAATAGAGATGCATTGATTTAAAAGGTGGAGCCCAAGTAAAGGTGAAGGTGTTATTGTTCTGTCTTATCTATGTCAAACCATTTACAACATCTCAATAAAGATTGGTCAGATACATTCAGTTCTGGTAGTGAGAAAAACATCTGCTTGCAGATGTACTCCAGGGTTTATTATGATTTGCATATTAATGTCATAACTGCAGACTGAGAAGAAGGCTGAACAAAAGCACATAACCTGCAACATATTTTACGTTAGCGGTAGCTAGCACATAAGTAATACCCTAATAATTGAGCACGAATGCGCAGCTTGGAGTATTATTTGAAAGAAAACAATCATGTCAGAATACTTGAAGACAAACGTGTCTGCTATGTAAAGATGTTTACACTATGGGCATTATTGTGGCCCTATTGATTAAGTTGGCGAAACTTGAATTATCTCTGAATGCCACAGGAACATATGAAGAGAAAATTTGTGTTTCTAAAAAAAATACAATCTAAAAACAGAACCGAATTCATCCATTATTCCTTCCATCCATCCACTTTCTGTCATGGTTATCCCAGCTGGGGTCACGAGGGGCGCTGTCAATGGGCAAGAGACGGGCTACACCCTGGACAGGTCGCCAGTCAATCGCCGGGCAACACAGAGACAAACAGGACAAACAACCATTCATGAACACACTCACAACTAAGGAGAATCTAGAGAAGCCAATTAACCTAACACTCATGTTTTTGGACTGTGGGAGGAATCAAAAGTATCTGGAGAGACCTCACGCCTGCACAGAGAGAACATGCAAACTCCAGGCAGAAAGACCCCGGGCCGGGAATCGAACGCAGAACTTTCCGCCTGCAAGGCAGCAGTGCTTAGTCAGCATAGCACCAGCAGTGCTAGGCACTATTTACCCCCCCAGAACTGAGTAACATAAAATATCAAATTACTGTTACCAACATTGATGTTAAGATGGGTGATTTAAAATAAAAATACATTATGTATTTGTTGCAATGAATAAAAAAGAAGTTTGACCAAATAAAATGCTCTCTTTATAGCACATGTGACTTGTCAACATGATAAATGTATTCAGTCACATTTTCAAATGGTAGCAATTGAAGAAAAACAGCAGTTTTGGGGATAACTAAACATTGTCCTTTGTAGCATATTCAGTAACAATAACAGGTGTCAGAAGAACAGGTCTCCACCCCCCACCCCGGCCAGGTAATTATCAATACCATATTTGTTCACCTCTAAACTGTTAAATCTAAAAGCAGTGTACAAACTCACATTTGCAGTGGCGAGCATGTTCTCTGGATCCAGTAAAGTCCGTAGCAAACCCATAAGCTGCACCGCTCCACCAAGCTCTGGGTCAGTATCACAGATCATGTGTTCTATGATCAGGTTGATGAGAAGAATATCCTGGAGGACAAAAACTGTTCATAACCACCTCGGGGAAAGTACTATCACTTAATTTTGTTTTGGGATGTTAATTCATATAGACTTACGTCATCGTTTTGCTGAGACTCCTGCATGACAAACTCTCGTACCATGGAGGGGTTGTACTCCACTAGATAAGAGAAGATATCTGTGGCTGCCCCACGCACATGAACATCATCCATTCCCTGTTTGGCAAATAAGTTGGTAAGTTAACAGAAAAAGAATGTTCTCAACAAACAACCTCCTTTGATAACCACAAAAAAAAAAAAAAAAAAAAACATTTTAGTAGAGATCTAATGTGATAGCTGAATCAGGTATTGGCTCCAATTTGTTTTATAATGAGCTGGATCTGATATCAGTTGAAAGATGGTGATCCAGCAATAAATATATATATATATATATTTTTTAGGGATGGGACGATTTATGAAAACCGTCAGAATCGTTCAGTTCGACTTTCTCGGTTCGGTTCGCGTGTGTTTCGTTCGGTTCATGCGCTGCTCCTTTTTCTCATAGAGGAAGCGATTACACTCCAGAGCAGAAGGTGGCGGTACTGCGACCAAAGCCAACCGCCAGTAGTAAACAAGAAGAAGAAGAAGAAGCGAAGCAGCTTAGCCGGGTGTAGCAGGGGAAAAAAATCAGTTGTTGTGGAGAATTGTGTCGGACTGGCGAGTGGGAAAGAACTGGAGTTGGAAGACGTGCCAGCAGCACCTTATAGGTCTGCTGTATGGGAGCGCTTTGCATTTAGAGTGACCTACGATGACAGTGCAAAGAAAGTTGTGGATAAAAGTGCAACAGTGTGCAAGCATTGTGCAACACGTTTTGTTTATGCTAACAGCAACATGTCATGCTAACCCCGAAATCCCTCATACTCCGTCAGCAACCCCCGCTCCGCCCCGCTGCGCTCCAGACCGGCTGTTCAAAGCAAAGCCTACAGCCCCCGCTGTGGCTTCGTCCGCTCCCCTCTGAGTTCCTTGGAGATGGTAGAGAGCATGTAACCTGACAACAGCCAGATGCATGTGGCGGAGCGAGACATGCATCTGGCTGTTGTCAGGTTAGAGAGCATGCGCCAGATGATTAAATTCAAAGCAGCAAAACATACGGAAATGATCCAGGGTTTCCGCGGATCATTTAAAATAATTACAATTCATTATTTTTGGGGGGATTTTTTCATTAATTTCATAATTTTTTATGGAATTTCGGTGTAACAATCAACATGTATCGAATCGAACCGAAAACCGTGACCAGAAACCGTGAATCAAACCGAACCGTGGATTTTGTGAATCGTTCCACCCCTAATATATATATATATATATATATATATATATATATATATATATATATATATATATATATAGAGCAAAACACACTTTTAATTTATTATTGTTCCTAAAGGGAAATATGTTGTGACTTACTCTTGTTAAAACTATGTAGGACTTCTGCGATTTAATGATTATGCAATCTTAAACTGAGATTATATTACAATTGCACTCAATTTCCCAGCCTTTATGCATTTATAACATCATATCAATATAAAAAATTTTATTTTTTACATATTAAAACATGTTTATGTCAAGCCTCAGGCCTTCACTTAAATGGCAAGGTTTATGGATGTTCAAAAGTAGCACCCGATCGGTATAAGCCAAGTTGCTCACTGAATCTAGGACTGAAACTAAAGATTATTTTGCTAATTGATTAATCTGCAGATTATATTTATGATTAATGGGATAACCAAAGATTCCTTAAAGAAAACTTTTTACAAAATTAAACCAGGTGAAACTCAAACATTTCCCCTAGATGAGTTCTGGATAGAGCATATTGACGGACTGAAATGTTTTTTGTTTTTTTTTTTATCTTGAATGCACAACGTTGATATATTTTCTGTCTTCTAAAAGCGTGTTTTAGAGTCTCTTGATTCCAGTTAACGATCCATCTATTAGTAAATTAGTCGATTATTTCAATAATCGATTTATCATAATCCGATAAATTGTTTCAGCCCTAATTGAATCGGAAAAAAACTGGATCATTGCATCTCTACATTTTAGGGTTGCTTAACGTAAAATTTTATGGTCTCTGCTAACTTCTTTAGGTGTTGGCTTAGACCTCTGAGAGTAATCAAGTTAGTTATATTTCAGCTATAACTAAAAAGCTTATCTACAATAATTATTGGCAGATTTAGTGGATATTATATTGACCCAAATAAGTATGCCATTCATTCTGTGGGTGCTGGTTTAGTCCTACAAGATGTACGTATGCTAATCATAAACAAAACATTAACTCAAATAGGCAATTTTTTGGACCTTAGAGCTAAAGACTCACTTCCCTCCTGTTCTCTTTATTAAAATTAAAAAAACTGACAAAAAAACCCCCAATGTTTTCCCAAGAAAAGCTAATTCCACAGAAGTGCATAGTGAATGCATAGGGATAAGCCACAGAGATCAACAAAACCTAATTGTTATAACAGCCATGTTTAAAAAGAAAGACCAGTGTAGTCTTTATTCCACCAAACAGAGAAAAATCAAAAAACAAACAACTGCCAGTTGTTTAAAACAGCATCTATAATCTTGGCAGATAGAATTTGTTTATGGAGAAAATGAGACAAACTTCTCATTCTGAAAACATAAACGAGCTTGCTGTACTGCCCTCCTCCACAACATAAAGCAAGCAAAGTTCAAATAAAAGAAAGCAGATGTAAACCTGAACACTTTCAACTCACAGGAAAACAACACCAACCCTCAACTATCACAGATGATGCTTTTTAAAACACAGGATTAATAAAAGCTACACAAAAATCCAATCGTACAATCAGAAATGCCAAAAAAACTCAATTCTTCTCATTAGCTGAATTTGGCTCCATTTTTGCCTCTAAATGTTACAGCACTTTCTGTCACATATGGGGAAATAGCCATTAAAATATGGGAGTATTTAAAAAGAAAAAAACTCTTTTGCTAAAAAAAAAAAAAACCTTTTAATGAGTGAATGCCCCCAGTCAACCACACAGTGATGTATACATTAGGGTTTAAATGTATGTTAATGTTATTAGTTGGTTATAAAACTTGTAATCAGATCATTGTAAAGCCAGAATCTTTATCTGATAAAAACACAAACATAATATTCCTGTCAAAATATGACATGGGGATTTAAATGTTAACATACTTTGATTCAATGTAACAATAGTGGGTGGAGCTATAAAAAAAATAATATATGATCATTCACAACCGAAACTTCAATGTAAGGCAGCAATACTGATACGTCAAATCTATATATTGTAAAAATCTTCCACAGGGTTCAGGGGTGAGTTAATAGTTGAGGATAGTATAAGAAAACAGGTCTACATATTCAGGTTGTTTAAACCCTGATTTATTCTGATCAATGTAAAGCAAACACTGCTTTGGAATATTAAGGCAAATTTGCTTCCAAATATGTTCTGTCAATAAGCTGCATTTAGGGTCCAATTAAAAATAACATAAGAAAGAACATTTTAAAGGTTTTGTCTTAGTATATACAATTATTTGGCATTTTGTTTTGTCAAAACATGTCAAAATACTTACCAGTATAACCTCTAGTGCAGGTAAAATGCCCATGTTTGATAAAGTCTTGAAAAAGGCGTCTCTGTTTTGAGGTTGCAATGTTTGTGAAAATGCGCAGAACTCCTTTAAAAAGTTGACCTGGAAGAAACGTAAAAACATAGCTGCTTGAACCATTGAAAATAATAGCAAATCTGTCTGATTCTTATTAAAAGCCAGCAGAAAATTCACAAATGAATACGTTGCATACCAGTTCTTGTCTTTTGTCATCATCAGTAGCCTCATCTGTTAGCTGTGCAAAGAGGTCAGTCAGGAACTTTTCATCATCCTATCATTGAAAGTGCAGAGGTTATAAACCGTCAAAAGTCAACTAATATTATGATCAGACAATTACAATAATTCCAAAATACAATTGTGTGGCGATTATCCAACACACAATGTATGAAGGAAACTAGAGTTAGTTATTAAAACAAATGTTCACATTTCCCTTTGTGAAAAGTTGCATTTGATTTAAGTTGATCCGCTTACAGTTAATGTCAGAAATGGAGACACTAAGGAGTTTCTTCAAGCTAATTAGATGTGTAAAACATCGGACTTCATGATTTATCTTTAGGTGTGAATCCGAGTCAACATTGTGAGAGTTTTTGTCTCCGAGTGCTTTTAGAGCAGCCATACTGATTTACACAACACTTCTGCATTGCTATGGAGACGGCAATACATAAACACTATTGAGTTGACATGGAACAAAAACACAAAGGTCATATGACTATAAACACTTATACAACCTCAAAGAGAGCAAAGTTGGACAATTTGAAGCTAATTTTGAGCAAATCTTACAAGATTTATTTATGCATGAGAGCAGTTGTTTCTCACCTGTAGCATGCCCACTATCTCCACCTTATTGAAGAAGATGAAGGAGTGCAGAGTGGACAGCATGTTTTCCTCAAATACAGAGGGTGTGGGCAGCACCATATCCTGAATATACTGCACACGATATGTCTGGTGTATTTTCTGACGCAGCTCAGGATCAGAGATGGGAATAACTTCCTTAAAACGCGCCGTCTTAGTCAGAAACTCTCGATGCCGTCGCGGTTGTGGTAGTGCTGGATCGAATTCCAGACAGCCGATGATGTCCATGATGCACTCGTCAGAGAACATCACCTCAAAGAGTGCAGTGCGGTTCAGCAAGAAGATGCCTTTAATTATTTCATATAGATGGTGTAGTCCTTCTCTGTTTTCCAAGTCCTCACACACACGAAACAGTTCTAGAAGTTTGCGAATATAGCCTTCATTCTCCACTGCCAATGCCAGTTTCTCACGCCGCAGTGGTGATGGAAGCGAAGAAGCCACCAGCTCAGCGAGGTCCTCCAGGCGGTTTAATTCACATGGCGGTAACTCCAAACCTGGGGAAGACATGTCATCAAAGCGCTCCTCCTCAGACTCATCCACAACCTCCTGCGTAATATCCACTGAAGGGTCCTTTCCTTGTACCTAAAAGGAGACCAATAAACAGATAAAACACCTAAATCAATAGCATATTACTCAAATTTCTAGAGAGGTATTAAACAGGTTTTTATGTCCAGATTTATTCAAGTTGCATTTTTGTCTAGGGATTATAAACTAATAAAAAGAAAAATACTCAACAGAATATGAAGTAAAAGAGATTGTGACCTTTTATATTTTTATTAATCTAAACAAAGGGGCATTAAATTAAGTGCCATTTATTATTAATCTATTCTTTCAGAAAAATTAAAGCTGCAAGACAATAAAAAAAATTGTGTGGTGTCAAAGGCTACGTTCACACTGCATTCCGATTTTTTCGTGAAATTAATTTTTTTGTTACGTTGCCGTTCACATTTCCAAATATATGCAACTTGTATGAAGTGACTTGACCTGTGTGAACTGCAGTCATACAGCTTAAATGTCCCGCATGTGCAGTAGAGGCGCAATGACGTCACAAGCCAGCGTGCTCTGTTTATGGAAGTAAACATGGATGTAGTGCTAGAGCGCATCTAGCAGTCTTTCCAAACCTTAAAACCTCAATCTTTTAAAGATGTTAAAAAAATATTGCTCTCCACATTATCATCCGTCATGGTTGTTGTTTTTTCTTGCCGCTTCTGTGTAGCAGGAAGCAGAATAGTGACCTTTGTCAGGTATTAATAGCGTTCAGGTCGGATGAATGCGAGCTGGCCGTTCAGACACAGGTCGCATTTGAAAAGATCAGATTCGTATCGGATCCAGGACCACATAGCCAAGTGACCCCTGGTCGGATTGGAAAAAAATTAGATCCGTGTCGTTCAGACTGCCATGAAAAGATTAAATACATGTTGCATATGGGCAAAAAAATCGGATTTGGGTCACTTCAGGCTACAGTGTGAATGTAGCCAAAAATGCTGATAAAAACTGCTGTAACAATAAATGTGTGCAAATTTTCTAGTTTGTGCCTTATACATTGTTATCTTTAGTAATTTAGACAATTTTATTTGTGTCATTTGTATCTGCTGTGAGAGACTGGTCAACTGGCTAAATATTGTATTAACAAGTACAATGCATGTTGATGACAAAATATCAATGAAAACAGATAAAATTTCTATCTGAATGATTAGTGAAAAATCTACTAAAATTAAGGATATAGAAAAATATATATTTACCTGACATATTTTCTCCCAGATTTCATCACAGCCAGCTTTCTCCTGAAAGCTGAGTGCCAGGTCATAATTCTCAGCCTCTGACCAGACTATCAATGTGTCCTTATCAAAATAAAAACACACAGTTAACAAAACAAGACTACATAGAGAGTAACGTTCTTTTTTTCCAAATGAGTGCTGCACCATGCACTGACCTGCTGTTTCTGGTAGGCTGTATTAGGGTTGATTTTGGACTCCAATAGTAGCGAGCCTGCAAGATAAAACAAAGATAACCCATAAGTGGTGAAAATGTGCAACAGAACAAAAATAAAATTAAAATAAAAAAGCTCCTTTCAAAATGTTGCAACCAAAAACAAACAGTAAAGTAACATATACAGTATATAGCAATAACAAACATGCACAAAGTACATTTATATATCAAACTATGAAAAAAAGATACAAAAGTTAAGAAATCTAAAGAGAAGTATTTACTGTGTAGCTACAAGTGTTTGTCCAGAATCAACAACAAACTGGGGGGTTTATCCTCCACTTACCATCACTTTCTGCTCGAACTAGGAGAGAAGTGCCTTTTAAACGCTCCACATAGCAGGAGGAGACGTGCCCGGTCCCACGGTCATCCCACTGCCTGTCCTCATTGAGGGTATACACTTTGACTCTCCTACGAGTGTCCGTCATCCTGGCAGGTGATTGTGACCGCTTTTCCCTTTCCCGAACTTCTCTGGATCTTGCAGGGGGTGGCTTCACCTAGTAACACAACTTCAGTTTTACCTACTGTATGTCGCCTCTCCACCTCTGAACTATTAAAATCTTATAAAAAGGGATCGATCTTTGCCTAGAATATCTTAGAAGAGAGTAACTCTAAACAATCATAGGGGGAACCCAATGGATCCAGCATTTAGTTTAATCAAGTTGTTTCTTTCCTATTTCTAGTTTTGCCTAACTGCTTCAAAACTTATTTCAACAGGGATACAGGCAGAGTACCAGGCAGAAACAGCACAGAAACAATTGTGGCAAAGGTAACGACAGTATAATTAACTGAGCGAAGGACACTCACGCTTTCTTCTGTTACGGACAGGACAAAACAATTACGGAACGTAACATCAAAGTCTACGCCAAAAGCGGAGGCCACCGTGTTCAAAATAAATCTTTCCACATAAAACACACCGCTTTTCTTTCTGTACAGTTTGTACGCTCACGGGTAATGTTAGCTAACGAGCTATCTAAAACGTTCGCTGCTAACGCTTTTACATCTACGCTATAAAGCAAATGTCTGAAGCAATTCCATCGCTGAAGAGCACCGATAACATTATGTTATACTCGCGGACAATAAGGACTTCTTAAATTCAAGAATAGCGTCTCCCCTCTTCTTTAAATATTACGCCAGCTAACTAGCATTAGCTGGTGTCTCTTCCCCAAGTATTCCGCCATGTTCTGGCTCGGGGCCGCGGAGAGACCGCTTTTTCATTTCTAAAATTCAGACATCCCCCAAAAAAATTGCAGACTAAAAAGGTGGAGCAGAATAATTAATCCAAGATAGCGATTTACATTATACTGTTATTTGCCATTCATTTCAGACGTCTTGCACAGCTAATTGCTAAGTGCCCCCCTTGAGTTTTCAGCCATCTTGGGTCCCTTCACAAGCAACACGGGGTTTCCGACACTGCAAACACAGGGCAGCCCGCCACATTTAAAGAGGCAGTAGCAAGAAAAAAAAAAAAAAGAAAAAAAAAGTAGGGCCATCAAAAAACACAAATTTGTTTCGAACCACAATTTTATTTGCAATGACTTACAAAAAAATAAATTCGCAATCTTTTAATCTAAATGCAAAAACTAACATTTTCCAAAAAACAGACAACAGTATTAACTTAGACTTATTTTAACTCAAAAAGACAAAATTTGCCAAAAGATTTGTGGAACAGTAACCATTTTGTATTCATTAACGGACAGCAGTAAGTAAACAAAAGTTTTTTTTTTTTTTTTTTTTTTTTAAACACAAAAAAAACCCAACAAGAGTCCAAAAGGTTTGACATATAAGTCACAAAAACAATTTCCAAACATAATGACATGTTTTATGGAAAAGAAAGGAAAAAAATTAAATGACAAAGAATTATCTTATGAAAGTTTCGCTTCACAATAATTCAAACAAAATCAGCTGCGGTTAAACAAACAGGAAATCCAGAAAACAACTTAACCATGGTAAAACATTTCTTAAAAGAAAAAACTAGAAAGATCCGTGCAGCCATTACCCCAATTCTCAATGTGTAACAAACACATTGGAAATGCATTTAATAAGAAGAAAATGTATATTTCAGGCCAAAAAAAAAATGGCAGTTATTTTCATCCTGCCACATTTTCTAATGTATAAACAATTTAATAAGAAACTCTTCCCTTGCACACAGTTTTAAATCCTTTCAGGCGCACGTAGAGGGTCACTATGGCAAACCAGCATTTACTTTGCTGCTTGCTGAGCTTGACGCCGCAACAGGACATATATCTTTTCTTTAATCCAGTCTTTGTTGTAAGGTTGGTATGTCTGTGTGTCAGCTCTGTACCTGCATAAAAAATAAAAATAAAAATTTGAAAGAACAGTCAATATCTCGTAGGATATTCAGACTGTTTCCATATTAAAATACCCTTACACAAGACCGCTCAGATCTGCCAGGTCATCAATGAAGTCAAACAGCTGACTTATGTCATAAGTAATGGACGGACAGTTTGGATTCATCCTCTTCAGATGCTCTTCATACATTTTGCAAACACCTGGAAGACAACAGATTTATTTTATTTAGGGCGTTTCAGAGATAACATCACAAAATGATGTAGAAAGGAATCACTATAAGATAGAAGTAACAATAAAACCAGGATAATAAAAAGAGAGAAATTACACCATAACCCCAAGAGATAAAACATACAACCATAACATGAAAGCCTGGTAGAATCTAAAAAATTTTTGTAAAATAAAAAAAATAAATAAAAAACAATGAAATTGAAAATGTGTTAAAATACAAAGAGGATGAAATACAATGGATGTATTTCCTAGAACTAGAAAAAACATTTTAATAATGCTAGGTACCAACATAACAGAGATCAAACTTCATTATGGCCTTAAAGAGGATATTTTTATACTATTTATATAGAGATTCAACAACACACACGACTTAAAACAAATCTTCAGCGAATTGATTTAAACAACAAATTGATAAACAAAATGTTAAGTTACTCAAAGTTGACACCAGGAAAGTCTGATTAAAAAATGTGCTAAGAATAGCCTCTCAAATGGGGCTAAATCAACGCCTCCAATTACTTCAAGGTGTAATTAATAAGGGGGATTTAGGTTTTACAGAAAACCCCCAGTTCTTAGAAGGTTGTGAGCTGCTTAAATGTTTTGCTTTTAAATTTAACAAAACAAAAAAAGCCAACATAGCCTAAGCTGATAAATCGCTGACCATGCAAAAAAATATTCTCATTAAATAAGATTAGCCACACTTGTCAATATTGGACAACAGGGGAAGAAAAATTTAGTCAATAATATATTAATAGTAATTTTCAGTATTCCCTAAAAAAAATTTTAAGTGATATGATGGCCATCAGACTCCTGTGTGAACAGTTCAGGACTCTGAATTGCGTAACACGCACATGGAGGAGGACAACATTTTTGGGGGGGATTTTATTTAACCATTATTAATAAAGGCATTGTCATCAAGATCCAAGATCTCATTTTCAACAGACGTGTTGAATAACACAAAAACAAAAAATACAACGCACTAACAATACAAGCGTTAAAAAAATGTCTCCATTATATGAGCTAATAAAATATGACTTAAATATAAGCGCTAGTTGTAGGGGTCTGTTTTTTTATTTAGCAAAATAGCTGCCATTCAGAAGCAAAAGGGAACTTTGGAAAAAATGTTAAAATATTTTATACTCATGAAGAATGTTCAAATATTCCTTAACTTTGTAATACTTTTAAGTTATCTGCCATCGGGATAAGGAGGAGGGAAAATATGCATTCAATGACATCGATTTAAATTGTTATGATTAAGTCAAGGATCTTTAATATGTCTTTAAAGCAGAAGATGGAAAAAAAATATGGACTGATTAAAGTTTCATGTCAGTTCAACTTTTCAACTAGACTCCATCTGGGGAGATGCTGCCATTTTTTTTGTCTATTGAACAACTAGTACAAGTAAAAGACTTGTTTAATTTTAGAACGCAAGTTTCTGACCATTCCCTTCTAAATATAAAAAGATTAGAAATATGCTACCTAGATTTACCAAATTTCATGCAAATATTTCCAAAAATGTCCCTGAAAATTTGCTATGTTCTCCATCAAAACTCTTCATTGGTTATGGTAGGTTGATACCATGCAAAAATTATTTAAGCATGACTTATAATTATAATTTGGTCTCAAAGCATTAACTACCTCTCAAAAATTCCCCCCATTCCTAAAAAAATGCACAGAATTGTCAGAAATAAGTGGTTTGTTTAGATTTGTTTATAAAAGTATGCTCCGTTCATCAAGTTAGAATAAATAGTCGGATCAAGTTACTATTTTTGTTTTAATGTTTAGCCTTTTTCCATACCTTCATTCGTTTGAAGCTTGAATAGTAAGCACATATAATCTTATTACCTTACATAGATTTAGCCTTAATCTAAAAAGACAGGCAAAAACACACATACCTTCCATGCATTCATTAACTGACTCGTAGTCTGCATACGTGCGGCCCTCTGGTCTCTTGGTCGGTTGGACAAGCAAAATTGTGTGCGACTGAAAAGTACAGTTTTAAATTTAACAAACAAATAGAGCAATATCCCACCCGCTTAATATTCGAAATAAATTTTATTTCTCACAATTTCTAGGACCCAAACAATATTTAAAAGGTTTCTTCACTTTCATCTTAAAGAATCATAAAGAGTGAAGACTTCAAATAATGACAAAACGCCAACGGCAGATTGGAAACATGTAGTATATAGCAACTATACTTCAGATGATAATCCAAAAGATGCACGAGGGAATATTTCGAATCAAATATTAGGTCAGTTGTAACAAACTGTCTTGCAACGCCGCAGAAGTACAAATTAAAGCTTTAATTCAGTGACAACTGTTAATCCTTGTAGCTTGCTAGCCTAGCAATAACAAAATTACTAGTTATGTCGCCTAAAATTAGTAATTCCCTTGTTTTAAATCTCGGCTAAAACAACACATACCATATTTGCAATTACTACAGGCCCACAGGGTTCACGGTGAAAGCAACAAGGAAAAAAAATAATCTTTTTAAACTACTTTTAAATCAAACAATCAAGGCAGGGATTCTAGAAAAAAACACAGGAACTGACGTAAAAATACTTCCGGTTGGAGCATCCATTCAAAATAAAAGTTTTGCTTTCAAAAATAAAAGTAAAAAATTAAGTCAAATGAACTAGAATATTACTAGTTTTTGCAGCAGCTGTAAAATATTTAAGCTAAATCAACTCTTATTCAAAGAATAATTTCTATGTTTCCTATAGAGTGGGGAACTATAGCAAGTAGCATGCAGAGCATATGGGAGCATTATGGTCTATGCCCTAAAGTTGAAAAGGTTTCGATATTCAACACTTTTCTTCAAAGTAGTGTATTGCTAAAATTATTGCTGAACGGTGAAGTTCTCACTTTACTCTTTTCAAGGTGTTAAATCTTGGTGTAATACTTGATGACAGGTTGAAATTCGATTGCCAGGTTAGCTCGGTCGTAAAAAAAAAAAAAAACAGCTTTTACCAGTAAGAATTTTATCAAAAGTAAAAGGAAACCTGCCAACCAGAGATCTGGAGACTGTAAAACATGCTTTTATTAATACGAGATTGGATTAATGTAATTCATTATATGTTGGCCTGAACAACTCACTATTGCACCACCTGCAGCTGGTACAAAATGCAGCTGCCCGTCTCCTTACTGTCACACATACAGATGACCACATATCACCCATCCTAGCTTCACTGCACTGGCTCCTGGTTGCTTTTAGAATAGATTTTAAAATTTTGTTTGTTTTTAAAGCTCTTAATGGGCTAGCCCCCCAGTATCTGACTGAGCTCCTCCAAATCCATGCCCCTGTCATAACACTGAGATCCTCCAATCAGCTGCAACTGGCCACAAAAAAAACCAGAGTCAAAACCAAAGGTGATCGTGCCTTTGTGGCAGTGGCACCAAGGCTCTGGAACAGCCTGCTCTGGCACATTTGATATGCAGGATCTTTCTAGGTTTTTTTTAAAATCCTCTTTAAAAACACACTTCTTCTCCCTGGCTTTTAAAGTCGTAGGGAAGCGGCTGTTCCAGCGGGTGCAGTTCTGAATTCTCCAGAGTGGTGACCAACTTTAGACGAGTGAATAAAGTGAATGTGATTGGTCGATTATCAATGGGGCAGGATTGATATGGCAGAAGGTTCGCAAGCATGGTTGGTTGCGGCCGGTGTCTCGGAAGCATCTTGCTAACCAGTTGGAAACTTAGTGCTAGTAGGTTCCCAATGGGAAATTACATTGGGACCAAGTAGCACTTAGCAACGACACTGTCAAGGAGCGCTATGGACAGTGGAAACATGCAAGAGGAGGACAAGACGTCCATCCCCATGAGCACTGGGACGTAACTCAGTGGTAAAGGAAATGAAGATGAATCAAGATGCTATGACTGAAAACATTTGATTGACAGATGACCGTTGATAAATGACAGGCCGAATTTAGGTGTACAAGCTAATGTATAACTAACTGGCCTGCATGAAATAACGTAAAAAAAACCCACAGAATTTAATATTTTAGAAATAGAAATGTTCTAACTTTTGGGACAATATGGTCAAATAAAGAGTACATTTATCTACATGTTTAAGCCAGAATGATTTGAAATTTACACATGACTTCCCTACGACTTTAATCAAGTCTCAGTGGACATCTGGCAAAGAAAAATTTACTTACATTTTTAGTTAAATTTAACTTATTTTATTCTATTTTATTTTCATTCTATTTTATTGCATTGTGTTTATGTATCTTAGCTTTTAAGTTTTTACCTTATTTCCTGCAACTGTTATATCTGTACAGCATATTGGTCAACCCTTGTTGTTTTAAATGTGCTTTATAAATAAAATTTGAGTTGAGTTGAAGGTTAAACAAAAGGTAAAAGCAATGGAAGTCAGAACTCATTGTTTAAATTATCAAAAACTATATGCAACTTCATTTATATTATTGCTTGGAGTTAAAAATAAAAATGCCTTTTTTATATACAGACACTGCATGAGTACATGAACCTCTGTAAAGTAAACACAAGAACAAGACAATCAAATAATTATTTTTATTTATTATTTTTAACAATTTGGACTATATTGATGCTGCCTGATATTTATTTGAATAATGTAATCATAAAATTCGACATCACAAAATAAAAATGAAATGTAAAATCAGAACAAAATCACGTAAGTAACTTTGTTCTGGTTTTACTCCTTAGGACAAGTAGGACAGCTCCTTAGGACAAGTCATGTAATTTATTTTACAATGAAAAACACTTATTTTGACAGTCTCAAGTTGATTTTACACAGAAATAGACAATTTTTCAGGTGACCAACAAACTAAATCCTGTTTCTTCACATGTATTTCTATATTAGTAGTAAAGACAGATGTAAGACTGAAGAGAAACCAAACCGAAAATATGAAAGACATGGAAGATATAAAGCAAAAACAGAGTTGGTAGCTATTTCTTTGCTATTTTAAATGAACAAATTTATACTACAACAAAGCTAACTAAGTATTCAAGGCTTTGAAACACATTTTCATATGAAAATAATGTTTCTATCAAAACAACAAAATCACAAGTTAATGCTTAGAACTTTTAGTTAAGATTCCCAGGCATTCAGGAAATTGTAAGTTCAGAAAAGGTTAAGAAAAAATAAGCAACGTCTATATAGATAAGGGGAATACTAAAAAAGCACGTCCATAGATGCATGACTCAACACAGGAGAGCCAGCTCCGTAAGACAAGAACATGCTCTGCATCGAAATCTAAAGCCTAGACAGTCTTTTGAGTGTAAAAGTGTTCATACTTTGGATGGATAAGATGTATGATGTACACATATATCAAAAAAGAGAAAACAGCTCTAAAAAAGAGGGGTTGGTGCTTGATTTCAGCTTTCAAAAACATAACAGCCTAGCATTGAATTTGACTTTTAAACCAAATCGCACCTTCTTGCTGGGGACCAAATATCTCTCGAGCAAAGACAGCCACTAGTCCTGATTGTTAGGGACTACTGGCTCTTTCCTAATCTGCATTTTAGGAAAACATAAAATTAAGATCCATATTGGAACTTATCCCTCACTAGCTCTGACTAGAGATTGCACTTCAGACAAAGAGTGAAAAATCCAGAGAAAATCCTGAAGTTTTTCTTTTAAACCTTTTTGAAGATTCAGTGTAGCCTAAAGCCAAATTAACATCCTCCTACATGTAAATGTTAAAATGAGAAGGATTTGTCCCCTTGGAAGGAAGGCTGTAGCGCCCCGGGGACCTTCTCACCGGTTCTTTTCCTGGGAGCAAGTTATTTACTACTCTTAACTCAAACTGGGTAAAACCATATAAAAAGGACTATAAAAACAGGAGTAACAGGAGTTTATTCCAGATCAGGTCGTTACAGGACAGAGAAAAATGCTTTGAGCTTGCACAGCTGTGGTCCCAAAAATTACGTCCGCGAGCGTCCGGTAAAGTTTGAGCCCCGATAAAGGTCATCACCTGCTTCTTATAGCTCATGGGTCTATGTGTTGCATCATGTTGATGTTGAGCCTGCTGTATCAGAAACTGACACGCCATCCATGTCTTGAACTTCATGCAGCTTGCTTCTATACTTCAGGGTTACAGATAGCTATCCTCTATCAGACCGGCTCCAAGATGTGCCCATATACTGTGTACTCTTAAAGACACGAAGGCTGTCCCGATTAGATGACCTCCGTACACACCATGACATCCACAATGTGAAGGAAGGCCTTCTACTCTGTCTAATCTGACTAACAAAATAACAATGCACATGATGTATAAAGAATAAACCTAACATAAACAAACATCTATATTCATACTGAGCTGATGGTGGCTACATAAAAAAGACTGAGTGAAAAGATTAAGTGAGCTGTATTATTATAACCTATGCTAGCCAGTGAAGGGTGTGGTTACCACTGCAGAAATAAAGAAGGAATAAGAGCAGGGCGAAAACAATTCCTAAACAAACCTAAAAGCTTAGTACTTTTTGAACTGAGAAAGCATTTTCAATGATAACTACAAAGTTGTTTTGTATTTTTCCAACTCTATTTAAGATGTGTTTACTGATTTCTATCATTTTTTGAGTTAAAAGTACCTGGGTATAGATACAGTATGCACTTCATCTTACAATTCTTTTTTTCATGCTCTACGCTCAAGACGTGAGTGCTGAGCCCTTGCCCTTGCAATGCTACCAAGAGACCCTCTTCTTGACGCCTCTCTTGCAGGTGCAGGCTCCCTTACAACAACGTCACACACTTTCTTGCAAGCTTCCATTGATATGAAGTTATTGGCATTGCCTTGGCAGCCTCCATACCAGAACTCCTTGCATTTTCCAGTGCTATTGTCATAGGTGAATCGAACCATCCAAGTATCACAAGGACCCTCATCACGGGGCAAGAAGCACACGTTTCGAGTGGGTGGATCAGTAGGGCCAGGATGCAGCTGTTCAAAAAAAAAAAAAAAAGGATGAAGGTTGGGGTTAGATTTAAGATGCAGGAAGTGACGTGGAAAAGGGCAGATTTTGATGAAACAATGGGCCTCATGCAACAATATTTTCTTGTTCTTGTTGGTTCCTACGAGTGTGCCATATCAGATTCAACAAATCAAAATGTCTTAACTTTAGGCAACTGCATAAATAATCTAAACCTGATGCTTTCCACGTTTACGTAAGGGAGCATCAGAATTTCAAATCTGCATGATTCCATATAAGGCTACATTTGTCAGATGGTGTTCATTCACAAAAATTGCATTGATCGAGGTTTTGCCGAGCAGCAGAATGAAAGGAAAGCAAAGCATCGGGGAATAGATGACAATATGTAAATTCTTTGATTGCACTGTTACAGAAGTAAAATAAAAAAAATGATCGATACAAAAATGGTTTTAAAATTTTCTATTTTTAGCAAGAGCAAGACAGTCGATAAAAACTACTGGCGGAGATGAGGTGAAACATATGATGTAAAGGCTAAATATGAGTTCACTATCAACCAACACCACACAGCATTCTGTAAAATCTGCTTTAATACACATGCACAGGATGTACTATACATTTCCACACCACACCTGTCAGTTCTTCATCATGCTCTCCCTCTCTCTCATACAACACGTTAACATAAAAAGGTAACTGAAACTCTAATTTCACGAATTCAGACAGACCCACGTCCAAACATTCCATATTCTATGTAATAATAAATCCAAGGCACCGATTCATGAAGTGAACTGAATGCACGTCTTACCATTAGTAGGGTTTCAAGCATCAACCTGTTGCTTGATTTCACATAGAGGTCACTTATTGCAATTTCTTTAACAAAATTAAAAAAAATTAAATAAACATTCGAATTACAATAGGCCTTCGCAACGTCTCGCTGCTCGGCTTTACAAATGTCCTCTGGATACGGACATGCCAGCTGCATGTGTAGAGACCAATAGTTGTCATCAGAGAAAAAAAATGTAATTTATAATTTCAGAGCTGCATCATGCATAATGATGTTGCCTAATTCATACTGGATTTTGAAATGGACATTTGGATCTAAGTCCCCAAAAAAAATTTTTTTTTTTTTTAAACTAGGTTTGGATAACAGCTGACCGATTGTACAAGACTCCTACTTCAAGTCTGGAGCACTTACAAACATTGTTCATGCCTGAGAGATAAATATAGATTGTAAAAAAAAAAGGTGAACGCAACATTTTCTCCTAAATCACTTCTATGAATCATTTAAGAAGAAATGTATCCATTGGAACACTTCTTGCAAAAGGCCCAATCCCTCTTTTAGGTTCTAGGATATGCAAATCAATATCTTTACTCTTCATCTTCCATAGTTGCCAAGAATGGTCACCAGCAGACATACTTGCAAATGTACTACTAACCAGCTGCTATCAACATATGAGCTCATGACATACACACACACACACACACCACACACTCACACACACACACACATACACACACATATATATATATATATATATATGTATATATATATATATATATATATATATATATATATATATACATATATATATATATATATATATATATATATATATATATATATATATATATATATATATATATATATATATATATATATATATATATATATATATATATATATATATATATATATATATATATATCTACAAGGTAAACCCCTTATTAGACCAGCTCTTGCATTTTAGAGCTACATATTCTCATTATCAGTGCGTATGAAATTGTACGAAAAGTTATGCATTAGAGCAATCTTCACAAATAAATGACAAGAGAAAGAGCTGAGTAAATGTAGGAAATAGGCGGGTTTATGTGATTTCCCCCAGCTTTACTGTAAGAAATCACTTTGCTTCCTACCTCAATTGTCTGAATGTCAGGACATCCAGCCCTTCCAACACCCTGAGCTGGAGTCACTCCATCCAAACAGCAGCCATACCTATGGGAAGTTTCTCTGTTAGAAATGTCATTTGAATTCATCGTCTGGTTTCAAATATCCGATGAAGACAGGAGTTTACCTGCTCTGATTACAGTCATTTTGTTGGCAGCCCTGATACCTGGGTCCAGTCGCAGAGGTATGGCCATCAGGACAGCAGCCATAAAAAGATTGTGCACAATGAGGTCCATACACAGGAGGGTAAGGAGGCAGCTCTCTGTGTGTCTCTGGCCTCAAAACTAAAGCAAGAAAATAGGTGATTAAACAAAGCATTATAGTTGTAAACACTCTAAAATGCCATAGACTCTTTTTTTTTAATCTTTCGTTGATGATCATTGACTTTAGAAAGAAGTTTATGACCCAACCTTTCCCACCAGCCCCTGTGACCCTCCAGTCACCACCCTGGACTCCTGCTTCCTGTATGAGCTGAACATCACCTCCCTTCCCAAAAAGGAACAGCAAAGGATATACTTCCTGCAGCAGCTGAAGAATTTCAGCCTGCTAAAGACCATGATGATGTGCTTCTATCATTTGGTCTATCCTCTTATCCTCATCATCATCTCTAACCCTGCTCCCACCACAAATGGCAGCCAGCAGCATATTATTCGCTCTGCAGTGAGTGTGATTGGGTGAAATCTTATTTTTGTTCTGGAAATGTAAAATTCCCGAAACTTTTCATGTCCTACCAGAACATGAAGTGTTTAAAGTTCTCCTCTTTGGCAGAAGACATCTAGTAATCAGGACCTGAATATCCTGCCAATAAAACTGCTTCTTCCCATCTGCTACTAGCCTTACAAACATCGTTCTGCACTGACACCTTTCCCTTTGGTGTACAAAACAAATAAATCAAAATAAAAAACAACAAAAGAACATGTCAGCAAATGTGTAAATCTACAATATTTAATTTAATTTTAAGCTCCTGTTGTTGTTTAATATCTTGCCATGCTTCTCTTCATAAACAATTTGCATTTGTTTATGCCAAATTGTATATTTAAGTATATTTACTTATCTGTGTGTAACAACTCATCACCATAGCAAATTATTGATATGTGTAAAACAATACATGGCAATAAAGCAATGTAAGATTCTGATTTTCTTAATGATTTTATGTATATATTGTCAAATATCTGAATACCTCACAACAAAACAGGCCAGGGATGATATGGCCTCTGTGTTTTGTTAGAAGTGTAGAACATCATAGAATACAAAAACAGTGTACACATCTGCTCAAGTTTTCATGGAAATCTTATACTTTTACGTGGGAATAACCTTTTCATGCGACACACTACATACCCAAAGGATCTGGAACATGTGGCACAAATCTTCTTGGGCTTCCTCCAGCCCCTGGATTTTGAACACTTGGAACCACTTTAGAAATATATAAAAACACAAGTGAAATAAATCAATTCTTAACAGAAGACGTCAAAATAAATGTTCCTTACTTTGCACTCCTGGACAGGGTTGCACGTTGCATGACTCCACAGAAAGAGGTCTACCAACTGCTTCGCATTGGTCCTCTGGGTAGGGGTTGAGATCTGTATCAAAGCAACCCACCTTCCTCTCTCTCACGCCACCTCCACAACTTCTTGTGCACTACAGGAACAAGAGACAGATAATGACTTAAAGATAACAGAATTCAAACAAAGTGTCAATGACATCTTTTATTTTACTTACAAGCCCAAACTCGGTGACATGCCAGGAAATATGCCTATAACAGGCAGGTCGGCGGCAGGTCTGAACTGAAGCGGGTCGAGCCAGTCCTCTGCATGCATGGTCAGGGAGGTGTTCACCTCTCGGTCCAACGCAGACCACCTCCCTTGTCTGCAGGCCTTCTCCACAGGTCACTGAGCACTGACAATCAAAGCATGAAGCAAATCCTAATGAGACATTACCTTGTCTCCTTTTGCCAAGCTATTTCAGGGTAATGGTACTCAAATCAGTATGATATTGTAATTAAACCCTCATTGTGTTAGATACAGACCACACTGAAGCTGGATACACTGTACTCTGCAGCAGCACAAGGATGCATGTTGCAAGGCTGCTGACTCTCGGGCCTCTGGAGATGCAGGGAAATGCAGTTAGACTCGTCCACCAATCTTGGATTGGATGCGTCCTGAACCATACAATCTACACTGCGGTATTGCACACCCCCATTGCAGGTGGCAGAGCACTCCCCGTAGGCTCCGGCGATGTAGACATACGTCAGGGTTTCTCTTGGCCGTGGAACGCCAGCAATGGGAGAAGAGGAATGAACGGAGTTGCTCTCATAAACCTGTCAACAAATCAAATGAATACAGGTGATTTGTTCATAAAAGTTGAATAATTTGCATTAAGTTTAAGAATTTCCAACTGAATATAAGAAACAAATGTCACCACCAGAGTTTTAAATGTTAACAACATCAGTGATATTAGTAACATTTTTGATTCTGTGAATACTGTGCAGTATTACCAATCCCTATTAAAAACTGCTGAGACAAATTGATAAATTTTCTGATATTTAGTTAAATAAATGATTAGCTTTGTTTTTGACTCCTTGGCTCCTTCTTTCTACATGCTCCTGTCAGTTTAATTCCTCAATAAGTGTTTCCTTTACTGCTCAGATTCACCCAATTTCACCTGTATTTAACTCAATTTATTAAAGGTCACATAATATTCTACATTTGAAAATCAAAACTATTAACAATGAGGCCTCCAGAGCATGCTTTTGCCATTTGTGTAGGAAAATTCTTCTTAGATCAGGCTGATAGCTTAAACAAAAAGCCTCCATATTCAGCCCTTTTTTAGTCAAGCCGTTTTGGCTTTGCAGGTTCCCCAAAACCCACAACCATGACAACCAGTAAGAGTTTGTAAAGATGACCTAGGAGCACTGAATAATATATAACATGAAGGTCAAGCTCGACCAATAGGGGGCTACAGCTTGCTCTGGATAGCTTATTTCTCCTCATGACATCACAAAGGTCAAGATTTTAAAAGGCGGAGAATCGAGTGAGAAAGGGGAGAGGGTTTTTTCATTTGTGAATCTCATATTCAGGTTTCATACGACTGTTACAAAATGTTTATAATGTGAAATTTGAATAATATGGGACTAAAAAATAAACAAATGTCTATAATACAGCAAACAGAAGTTCAAGTTATATACAAATAAGTAAATCAGTTAGACAAATGATGAAAAGAGAAATAATGCTCCCATGTTTTTAGTACCCATATACCTTCTATTTTTCTTTTTCTCTGTTGGATGTAAAATCTTCTGCCACACCAGCATCCTTATCTTACTCAGCAACCTGAGCTGTGGCTTCACTTAGTCTAGCATATTCCACTCCTGACTTTTCCATATGTGCTGTCTCTATATTTGCCTGTGCTGCCACCCAGCTTTACAAAATAAAACAATATCAGATGTAACTTACAAAATAATCTTAGAAAATCCTTGCTTTGTTTAAAAAATTGAGTTTCACTATGCAAGCAAAAAAGGTTTTTTGTTGTTGTTGTTGTTACTTTTTAAAATGTTCGAACAGTCACTTAGAATACAGCCAACAATGCACGATGTCTCAGTTTTTCTTGAACGTTTATACACAGTGTGTGAAAATATAAATTTCATTTTAGAACTCTACACACAATATGACAAAAGTCACAAACAATATACACACCCCTCAAATCTTGTGTAATTTCAAACTTTACCTGAAAAAATAATATGTATTCCTATCAAATGTTTACACACACTCACAGAATATCAAATAAATAAAGATTTGTAAGAATCATTTGAACACCGATGATCTCAGTTTAAATCACTAACAATAACCTTGACTTAGATATTTTCTCTTTAGTTTTTCATTTTTCAGACAGTACATAAGTGTGATGCAGAGTCAGTACATACTAAAGCAATACATCTTATAAACTATTTATTACATTAAATAAAAAAATAATAATAAAAATTTACACGTGAAAAAGTGCAAAGTTGCAAGTTGTACAGTGCTACACTGGGTGGCACTGTTTAGCATGACACACTGAAGTGATGTGACTAAGAAGAAAGTAAAACTTCATCACTCTCACAGCAATGCAGGAAAGTTTTTTAAGGTCTTAGCCAGGGGTCTGCAACCTTTCATCTGCAAAGAGCCATTTTCCCCCATGTATGGCTAAGTAAAAGTAATTTAGAGCGACAAAATATAACATGACTTTTTAATATAAAACAACCTATTATTTTGGTTTAATATTTGCCATTGGAAATTTGTTTCCACTTTAAAAAACAAACATTTGATTCGCTTTTTTAGCTTAAGACAATAAAAAAGTAAGCAATTCATAAGGATAAAGGACAGATTTTCTTCTACATGGTATGATAATAATAAAACACCTAATCACGAAGCTAATTAAAAGAAGAATAGCTAGAAAAAACATATTTCTGATGCTTTTACTGTCATTCTGTTGTGAACATTTAATTTAAATATTCTTTATAAGAACCAATAAAATTTCTAAGACTGGTAATTAGTATTATAGTATATTATTTAGTTCTTTATATATATTTTTTGGCCACTATTAAGAGTTATTTTACAGGGTCTAAAGAGTCACATGTGGCTCTGGAGCCACAGGTTGTAGACCCCTGCACATTCACCAGTTTTGAGTCCTACCCCAGGAGTTTGGTATTCAGGACACCCAGCCATTCCGAATCCTCGAGCTGGTGTCACTCCATCTAAGCAACAGCCAAATCTGTGAGTGAAAAATATTTAATTGGTACAAAGCAATTTAATTCAGGTCCGATGCTGCTTTAAAATATAACTAAGAGGCACGTTGCCTGCTATTAACACAGTCGTCCAGTATGCAGACATGGTTCCTGGGTCCAGTCGCTGGTGTATGTCCGTCAGGACAGCATCCATATGATGACTGCATACAAGGAGGACCTAACACAGGAGGGTAGGATGCAAATGTCATTGAGTGTTTCTGTTGTTAGAGCCAAATAAAGTAATGAAATGTATACTTTTAAGAATTTAAGAATTCTATATTTACCGGAAGCTATTGTAAAAGTTGATTGTAACTGATTTGATTGGCACACAGAGCTTGTCCAGGATATAAGCAAACAAAACCGCTGCTTATAGTTACAGCACTTGTTTACCTCATACAGATTAAAAATATTAATGAATTCAAATTGATTTTGATTTAATAAATCATTTCAAATTTACTATATATAAAAAATATATCAAAAAAGATTTTCTTAGTTGAGATTTAAGAGAACCAACCAAACTAAGCAATGTTTTCATCAAAAGAAAAAAAGTCTTGATAGTTATTCTAAAATATTGTTGCTAGTTCAAGATTTCCAAATGAATTCTACTAAAATTGTCTTTAACTCTAGATGTAGCATTAAAAAAAAAAAAATATATATATATATATATATATATATATATATATATATATATATAAGCATGTTTCTATTAAGGAAATAAGAAATATGGAATTTCGATCTCCCCAAACATGTGATAGAAACAGCAGTCATAGACTGTTATTTTTTGCCTGTACATTTGGTTGATATGCAGATAATTAAGACTGCAAGTATGCAGATAGGAAGAGGAAATATAAGGAAAAACAATTTGACAAACCTGACTGTTCCCCTGGAACATGGGGAACAAACCTGATGGTGCTTCTACCTTCTGATGAGTTCTGAATGCTTGGAACCACTACAAAGAAAGAAGGCTAGAATGGTAAAACAGCTCAAATATCCTAACCAAAAAACATCCAGAGTTAATATTTGACTTACATTGTGCTCTATCACAGGGCTGTGAATTGCATGTTTCGACAGAAATGGGTTTTCTACCCAATCCACATTGATCCTCAGGGAAGACATTCAGATCCGTATCAAAACAACCAATCTTCCTCTCTCTAACACCACCACCACAGCTTCTAGAACACTGCAGATTAAAGAGCACTTATTGATATAAAAAATACTTAAACTGATGAAAAGTTTTTTGGTTTTTTTATGCATGCACAGAGACCTTTTTTTCAAACTTACAAGTCCAAACTCAGTCACATGCCAGGAAATGTGCCTGTGACAGGCAGGACGACGGCAGGTCTGAACAGAAGCGGGGCGGACCAGTCCTCTGCAAGCGTTGTCAGGGAGGTGTTCCCCTCTGGATCCAACACAGACCACCTCCCTCGTCTGCTGCCCCTCCCCACAGGTCACCGAACACTAAAGAAATTCGAAGATTAAAATTGCCAAGGCATATAATCATATGAAAACAAAACCTTTTACTATCTTATTAGTTGTCAGTTACAGTGCCTTGCAAAAGTATGAGGATTCTATTATTTTTTTTTTCAATATTTTACATCTTAAGATCACAAACACATATTTATTCTATTGATATTTTTTGCTGGAGTACAGAATACACAGAGTAGTATGCATCTGTAAAGCAATGGTACATCGTAAAATGTTTTCATATTTTTTACAAATCAAATAATAGTCTTTTCAGGCTCTTTCACTGCGGCCAAAAAATTGAAAGTTATTAAAGCAGTTTATAGCTCACTGGTCAATGATTTAATATTAGTATGACTACAGATGCCCTTCAAAAGCCTTAGAGGTTTTATATGGTTGCCCCAGGCTCAGGTGAATACGCCCCTGGCTATTATGGAACGATGGCGAGAACGTTTATATCATTGAAAGAAGAAAACAATATATCCTTTGCAGTTTGTCTCAACTGATGAAAGGGACATAAAAAAGTATTGGGAAAAAAGAAGCTCTGGTTCAATGTGACAAAAAACATACCAATGTGGTGTGAATAAAAAGTAGTATAAGGGATTGTAGAACTCTATGCAATAGCCATGGTAACATAGTGATGGAAGTATCATGATGTGGAAATGGGGTTATTTTTCAGCAGAGAGAGGAAGATGGTCTGAGCAAACAAATTCTGGAAAAACTGTCACCTTCCAATGAGAAAAAAACAAGAACATTCTGCCAGTGTTAGAAAAAAACACTCTAAGTGAAAAAGTTTATAGAGAAATACCCCAGAAGACTTGCAGCTGCACGTGCTGCTATAGTTGGCTCTCAATACACAGAATCCATCCATGAGACTTGAACACAATTATTTGCATTTATTTAACTAGTATAAACACATTTCCAATGCACTGTATATTAAACAAGTCAAATACTGACAACTTTAACTAAAATAAATATGGCAATTGTTTTAACTCGAATGATAGTCAGAGGCCCAGGTTATAACTAAGATACGAACCACACTAAAGCTGGAGACGCTGTATTCTGCTGCAGCACAAGGATGCATGTTGCAAGCCTGCTGACTCTGAGGCCTCTGAAGGCGTTGAGCAATGCAGTAAGACTCATCCACCACACGGGGGTTCGATGGATCCTGAACCAAACACTCCACAGAGCGGTACTGCATGCCTCTATCACAGGAGGCAGAGCACTCTCCGTAAACACCGGCCCTGTACATGTACATGTGTGTTTCTCTTGGATGGGGGGAAACAGCAACAGGAGCAGATGATTCAACTATAACTGTGTCGTTATCCAAACCCATGAACTCTCCATGGACCAATAACTGGAAAAGGACAACATGATAGAAGAATATCAGCAAATAATTTAGTTATAAACTCTGCAAGATGGAAATAATAAGGTTTTAGTTTTAGGCATTTTGTTCAGTTTTACAAATTTATAATTTTCAGCACAAAATGTAATCACATAAGATCCAAAATTGGATTATGAATGCCTCTCTTTGTGGAGAGAACCAAAAGAGGTTTCTATTAAAAATTTATGGTATGCTCTATAAATACAGTCAATTATAGTTTTAAGTCTTACTCGACAGACTCCATCCACACAGATGTCAGTGCGCCCCACATAGCAGGGAGTCCCGTCTACCACTTTGGGCCGGTGGCGGTAGAAGAAGTTCTGTCCCACTGGCACACAATTTAGTTCACATAGGTTGGAAGCTAGAATTTTAAAGGAATAAACAACAACACTAGAGTCAGATGTTTTCTGCACTTTATTGTTGGAATGCTGCATAACTTTATAAATCTAAAACAGAGAATTATGTAACACATTTGGAGTTTAAAAGAAATATTAATCCATCCTGTATGCAGAAGGCATATTTTGCGGGATATGTACAGCTTTTCTTTCTTATTGGTCTTGGTAATATGTTTATAGAGCATGTAACAGAAACTATACCTCCATAATAAGGCACCCATGAGTGACGTTTTCCTTGAAAGTCCATCCTGTCAAATTCAGAACACTGCTCCTCCCGGAAATCTCTTGATCCAACAGGGCAAGCCTTTCATACAAAAAAAGAAGCCACGTCATCTCTAGATTTTTAAGTATTTTTCTGTCTGCACATGTTCATATTTTCTGAAAGGAGTTAAGGAGTTTACTTGTGTATTGCAGGTGAGGAACGATTTGGAGGATCCCATACAGTTGTGACCTCCATCTGTCCTGCAGGACACAGGACAGATATATATATATATATATATATTATATTATACAGGACAGATATATTCTATTCCATTCTATTCTATTCTATTATATTATATTCTATTATATTATATTATATTATATTATATTATATTATATTATATTATATTATATTATATTATATTATATTATATTATATTATATTATATTATATTATATTATATTATATTATATTATATTATATTATATTATTATCACTGAAATGCTTTACATGTCCTACCTTGAAGTAATACATCTCCTGATTCTCATTGCCACTCCGGTGCCGCAGGTACGGCTGCAGGGGCCATATGCCCCAAATTCTCCCCAGTAGTCATTTACTGGCTGTGTCAGCTTTCAAAAAAAGCACAGAAATTAAAATGGAGTTAGATAAAAAAAAAAAAAAAAAAAAAAAAAAAAACTTTTTTTTTTTGTTGCCTCTGGAACACATGCTGCTTCCCCTGCACCAAATCCTATCCGCTGCAAACCATCAATCTTCAGTGTGGGGTCACAATAGGACTAAAATAGTCACACGAACTTGAGACACAACTCAACCCCTGAATGAAGCATAATAAACATATATTCTCACAACTCTGATAACAGTAAAGGTGTATTTTTTATTTTAAAATTTACTTTAAAAGGTCTTTATACAATTTAGATATATTCTGTAAGATAAAACTTTGTTGTATTATTTGTACAAGAGGCCTTTTTCATGGCTACAATCATTTGAGGACAATAAATGTTTTAAGAAATTATGATTGTTTTATTATTTACTGCAACTGTGAACAGGTCAGGATGAAAGGAAATGTAAGACAAGATTGGCAAAATAGACCAACTGATTGACTAAAATGTCCTTATCTTTAACAGTTGAATAAAAGGCTATAACATGACATATATATATATATATATATATATATATATATATATATATATATATATATATATATATATATATATATATATATATATATATATATATATATATATATATATATATATATATATATATATATATATATATATGTCAGCATAGTTTTTCTCTACAGGTGCGTGTTAATACAAAATTTAACAATTTACGAAACAGTTCTGTTTTGTGAATCTATGTAGAATATGAAAGTGGCTGACACATATACCGTACATGAAGCAACTACACATACTACTGTGTTTGAAATATACATATAAGTTTTATTTTATTATTTTACCATAAACTATGTAAGGAGCATATAATGGAATCAAAAATACTAGCTACCACTTACTGTAAGAGCAGAAGCAAGCAGCTGCAGGAGACCAAGGATTTGCAGGATTTTCATGTCAACAGACACCTTACCTAATCTACTAATAAAAGTAGCTAATAAAGAAAATATTACAGCAAAATTATTTACATCTCAAGCATAAACAATATTTTGTTACTGTATATTTACTTCATCTTAGTTTTAATAAAGCCCCAGAAGGGATTTCTTTGGTGATGCTAGATAACAAACATTTTTGCAAGAGATCATAAAAAAAATGGAGTTAATGTTAAAGCTGTCGTACCTTTTTTAAGGGGCTCTCCGGCTGGTAGATCAGTTCTGCAGGAGAACGTGGATCTACAAGATGAAAAAATGGACAGATGCACTGATTTCTATCTTCTCATCCGATCTGCTTGCCAAAACCACAGCCCCAGAATGTGTCAGGTTTCAACCATGCAAGCAGCAAGAACCTTTTTTTTTCTTTTCTTTTTTTAGCCTAGCTTTTAAACAATTTCTATGCTGTAAAAAAAAAATGTCCATCCTACTATAAGCCTGCATACACCTTTAAACCAAAATAATTATTTTTATTTGTAAAATCAAGGATAGTCAAAGTGAAAATTAAATCTAAAACAATTGAATTTGTTGATTGAAACAGAAATTAATCAATCTGAGACAGACTTATAAATAAGTTAAAATGCTCTGCTAATTTAACAGGATCCAAACCTGGTCTCACATTTCCATCATGCCAACATTAGACAAAAACTAATACAGCCCTTTAGAAAAATAATTTCTTCTGAAGACTGGGATAATCTCTGTTATTTAATGCAGCCGTTGATTCTGCTCTCAACCCAACAACCTTGAAGGCGAATGTTAGATCAAGACTTAATCAAGCAAACCTGGGTGACACAGAAGATGATAAAATGAAGCCCACCTATAACAACATATTTGGCAACTTCTTAAACAGGCTCTTCATGGTAGTCCTCCTATCTGGCTGCTTAAAAACAATGCAGCAAAAAAGACTTTACCAAAATTAGTTGACAGTCATCTGAAATATGTTTTTCGGTTTAAGGGGCATACATATATGTTATTCTAAGTAGTTTTTTTTTTTTTTTTTTTTTTTTTTTTTTCAAATTAAACTTTAAAATTTTCATCAGTAACTCTGAAATCTGTAAAGGGAAAATAATTTCCACAATGTTAGATAAGGATATTTAAAAACATTACAATTGTATCTCTATATTATTTATTTTTTTTAATCTTTTTTTTATATTTTGCAAAAATGTAGACATTAAATGTAATAATATTCTACACACTGAATCAGACAGTTTTGGAAGAGCCCAATAACCTTATTACACTAAACATTTAACGTGTATTTGTTGCAGTTTTATTAGCAATTAATAGACTATTCCATAAAAAATATTCCAAAATATATAAAGTTAAATATAGCCTAAAATTTTCCATTGCTTCCCACTGATGTATTCCTTAACTTTCTTTTTTTTTCAAAGCAGGTTCTTTTGGCCACTGATTGTCCCTTTTTCACATCTCATAACCACTAAACACAGTCCATTAAATCACAGCATGGGAGCTGGTGGGAGGAAAACACTGTTTTGATGTTCAGTTGGTTTATTTTAGTAAAAAAAACCACAGGCATGCAGTCTGAAGCATATATCAAGAGAGAAGGCAGTATTTTTATCTTTCTGGCTAAAAAACATAAAACTCTAATCTCATATCTCTAAAACCTAAAATGTTATTCCTAAAGTGAAGTATATTTATGCAAAAGATACATGACTAAAGTTTTGTCTAGCATGCAATAAACATCTTGCCACAAGATAAAGTTTATTCACATAGATTTAAATAAGTCACATATGAATTTCCACATGTCATTGTCAGATATAGTCTAAAAAGAGAAAAACAATCTTCACATCAAATAAGCCTTACTTCATACATCAAAGACAACAAAAAAAAGCATCCCACACAGTCAAAGTCCAAATCACCACCCCAAACAATGCATTCAGCACACAATTAAAAACAAAGTCTATCCCTTCCGCAATCTCAAAACTGCCGGTTCAGTTTCTGCAATTCCTTCTCCTTGGCTTCAAAGGCACTCTTGGTGCTGAACAGTTCTTCCACTGAGTTCACTATGTCCTGCATTTCCTGAGCCATTTCTGCATAGCTCTCCTTCAGGTCCTCCTGCTGCTGCTTCAGCTCCGCCGCAGCTTGCATCAGCTCTGAGGCCTGATAGCTGCACTGGCTCCTGAGGTCTTCCACGTCTGTCAGTAGGGTCTCCATGCCCTTCAGCACCTGCTCCAGACGATCTGCGGCCTCATCAAACTCTGACGTGTCCTTGAACAGACTGTCGAAGTCGGAACTTTCAAGTGACAACAACTTGATTTTTGGCTCTGAATCCTTATCCTCTTTCTGGGTCCCTGCCTCCTTATTCTGATCTTCCTCTCCTTTCTCCATGGTTCTGAGGCAGAAAGTCTCAGTCAACCAATATCACAGATACTAGTGCAGATCTCACTGAAACAGATATCTGAAAAAAACAAAAATAATTTAGCTTCAGGGAAGAGCAGTAAAAAAGTGGAATTACTCACACACTTAGAAAGAAATTTGCAGCACATGTTCTACTTCCTTAGAATCCCTTGGATAGTGATGAGTTTTATCCCCTTACAGAGTGGGGGAAAGCAGCCGTTCTGTGTAATCTCATTTCCCCATGCACTTGCGTCTTCAGAGTATTTGCGGACAGGTGTCAGTGTATTTCTGTCTAAGTCCCCTTTCTCTAACATCCAAGACCCATAATCCAGTTTCAGGCATAGGGCCCAAGCAATTCCCCTACTGGCACGGATCATTGCAGGCTCAGGTGAGCAGCATGCAGTCTGAATGTAAGATCACATAGTACCTCCCCCCTGACTGATTGCTTTTGAGGAGAAAGATTAACTGCGTCCTCGTAAAGTTACCTGCTGATCTACTATTAGGATAATTCCTGTGAAAAGTAGAGGAATTACTGTGAAACCAGTTACTTTTAGGGTGAGTTTCAGGTGTATTAAATGCACAAAGGATTACTCCTAGACTTTGTTCAACGGTTCAAAAACCTGAATTAAGCTTCTAAGTAATGAATGCCAACCGTGTGCTATGATGTGTTCTTACTCTAGTTTCATCAGATTTCTGACTGACCACAAGGATTTTTAAGAGAATATTAGTGAGTATATTGATTATGGACTTGTTTATTAAGATACTTTCCAAGCTTTGACCATTTTACAAAGCTTTGTTTAATAATTATCCAAAAATGAAAAGAACAGAAATGCAAAGCTGCTAACTCTTTGTAGACCTTGAGAAGTTACCAGCTAGGCAAGGGGTGCTTTATTCAATAATGGGTTGATGTTAACCCCACAGGAGCAGCAGAGGTTGATTCCTCCGATGGGAAAACATTTTGACTGAACGACTGTTACAAATGTAAGCAACAAAGTTGGCATTGAAGAAGTAATCCGAAATCCTCTATGCAGTTTGCGAAAACTGCAATTAAGGATGACAATAAAAAAGTAGGCAAAGGAGTCTGGTGAAATGAGAACCAAAGGTGTTTAGCCGAAATCCATAAAACTGTGTTTAAACATTACGTTGGGTTTGATTTAGAGTTATAATGTGGAAATTATTATTTTTTCTACAGGCATGTGGAAAGTAGTCAACGGTAGTGGAAAGGTTGATGGATTTGAATGCAGGCACAACTAAAGTAAAACCTTTTTGAAGATGCAAAAGATTTGCGATTGAGCTGAAGGTTCATCTTTAAGCAGCAAAACATAGTGATAAAAAATACTGATGTCTTTTTAAAACACACAGTCAAATAGGAGACATAAATCAATCTGTAAATCTTGAACAACTGTTAAAATTGACGTTTACAGATGTTTTCAATTCAGTCTGTTTACTTAGGGGGCGCTGGAACTGCCAAACCTTTGTTATTTCTATTTTAAATGGTTAAAAAAAAGGAAAAAAGCCCATTCTTTTCCTACAAATATTTTAAAACAATATTTGCAGTTTGTATTTTTTATGGGATAAAATTGAAATTGAAGATATCCCTCTTAATCAAATACACACCTTTTATGAACTCTCTTAAGGCACTTAGCTCCTGAGTCTAAAATATTTTCCATGTCCAAAGCATGACAGTCTTACTGGAAAAAACAAAAACAAACTAACCATGCAGAAGCAATTAAAATCCACGTGTCCTGAAGTGTGTTAAAGAGCCAAGAGAAGAAACTACCCTTTAAATGGCTGTAAAGATAAGGTGCCAACATGATAATTGCAACTCCCCCAAACCTCTTATCAGAACCAGACAACTTGCTTCGAGGAGGCCAATGTCAGGGGAAACTCTTAATCTCTGAGTGCTTCAAAATACAGACATTTAAACTTCAGCTACACTGAAGGAATAATAAATTTGTCACAAATGTTCAGCTCCGAACCTTATATGACTCGCTGAAAAAGAAGAAAACGTTTGCATTCAAATAGAAATGTATTCAATTCTATAAAGTCTTGGGGAAAATGTTATAGACCATCCTAATATTATATTCCTCAATTATTTGTACTAAAGTCATATTACCTGAAGAACAGGACAAAAATCAAGGGTCCAGCATTTTTTTATGACTGCATTTTAAAGTCATATGATATAAACAAAAAGGTATTTTATTATAGATTTATATAGCTTGTATCTTTTTTTTTATGAAAAAAGATTTAGTACATAGCAACATAGCATTCTAACTTTAAAAAAAAGCATTTGATGTTTTACAAAAAACAAGTTAACCTTCTTTTCAATAAAGCATCTTGAATTTGTCTTGCTAAAATTAAATAGCAATAAAATGTTCTAATTGCAAATTTACAAAATAAACTTTTAAACATTTTCCATTTAATATTACCATATAAAATATATATATTTTAAAAAAAGTAATTGTAAATAATAGTTAATTGGTTCCTACTTGTTCTGCTGTTGTTAAAGAAGGGAAACCCAGGTGTGTCAACCCAAGGAATGGAAGAGGTCTTAAAGGGGGTGAGTCATAGGTCTCTCTCTCTCTCTCTCTCTCTCTCTCTCTCTCTCTCTCTCTCTCTCTCTCTCTCTCTCTCTCTCTCTCTCTCTCTCTCTCTCTCTCAGAAGCTTCTGTCCTATAATGAACCCCAAATCCTTCTAATTACTGAAATGGCTTTTCTGCATTACAGCCAAGAACCTTTTAGTCTCATGGGCTACACAGAGAGCTGTATACCATCAGCATACAACTGAAAAAAACAGACATTTTCATAAAATAAACCACTGTAATATTTTAAAACACCAATACTTGATACTACCTACCACTGATCAACCGATAATTAAAATAATACTGCATCCTTTAGAGTGATGAGGCTGTAAGCAAAATTGTACAGATTTATTTAGGAGGCCATACTTATAGGACACTGTGAGAAAATGCCATAAAAAAGCTTAATGACCTGTAATTACAATGCAGATAGGCACCTCCAGATTCAGATTAGGGAAAACTCTGCCTTGTTTTCTTACTGCTAATCAATGAGTTTATAAGAGGAATCAGTGTTATTACGGAAAATGCATTACTTTCTCAAAAATAAGTGTCTTTTCTTTATAGTTTGTATCAAGGCTTTTCTTCTTATGCTTGTCTTGAATAAAAGCCTTTGTGATCTACAAACGTCTTTTTTGTCTACTTCTTTCATTTTCTCTTCACTTTTCCAGGATAATGATTTGTTTTAAAATCTGACAGATGCTGCTCATCTGCTGTTTTTTTTAGGCCTGACACCTCTTGTTGTCTACTAACAGTTAAATAGCAGACTGGTCATTAAATGGAATTATAGATCTGATTTACAAGAGACAGGTTTCATTTTATCCTTACCAAGGGATAAATACTAAATATTATCATATTATTCTTCAAGACAGGAAAAATTGATAATGTGACATACTTTACTTATTTTGTGTGAGCTAAGCATTTTAGCATTTGCACTGTCTTACCACATGAGGGCCCCCTTATAGCTCATAACCTACAATGCGTCTCTC